GCCCAGGAGTCTGAGGTTGCTGTGAGCTAGGCTGACGCCACGGCACTCACTCTAGCCAGGGCAACAGAGTGAGACTCTGTCTCAAAAAAAAAAAAGGTACCAGGCTCACATGCTCTGACAAAATAATTCTTACATTTTCATTCACTCAAAGCCATGTAGGCGTATGTTCTTTTCATCACTCAGGTGATTAGCATTTGTAACAGATGTAATGGCCTAAATTCACAGCTAATAATATCAAAAATTATATTTGCTCTGTCTCCTTTATTTTTTATTATAAATGTTATTAAAAGTGTACAACATGGTGTTTTAATAGACATAGTGAAATGGTTACTATAGTCAAGCAAATTAATGTGCTCATCTCACAAAAGAATTCTAACACACTCTTAAAGAGTAGATAATTCTCTTAAGCTATATCAAAGCATGGAAAATTAAGAAAGCCACCTAGTTCTCTTTTAATGTAGCAATAATACATTAATATCAAAGCCTGAGAAAGATTTCATCAAAAAAAAAAGCAGGATTAGAGACCAATTATATTTCGTAATATTGATAAAGAAATCCTAAATAAAAAGTTAGCAAACAGAATCTAGTAACACATTAAAAGAATTATCATCACCAAATAGAGTTTATTCTAGGAATGCAGGGCCCTCCCTATATTTGATACAAAAAAACCTGTATGATTCATTTTATTAATAGATCTAAGGGAAAAAAAGCACATCATGCTCCGTGGATGCTGAAAGCTAACATCTTTTTGATTAAAATAAGTTATCTAACTGGGACTAGGTGGTTTCTTTTACATAATAAATATATTTGTATCTTGTTCCTAAATCTGACCCCTTATTTAATGAGAAAACTAAAAGTCCAGAACAGATAGGAATGCCTGTTATAACTACTGTTCTACATTGTGCTCAATTTTCATTGAATTAACAAATAAATAAGAGAAAGAAAATAAAGTCATAAAAAATGGAAAGGAGATGGCAAAACTGTTGTTATTTGAAGATTTATTCATTTAAGAAGTATTTACTAAGGCCTTCTATAATCTAGGAACTGGTGAAAAAAGATAATAAAAATTTCTTTTGTTATGGAGCTTACATTATAGTAGTATGCTATTTTATGATTGTAGACCCCCAAAATTAAGAAAATAGAGTGAAAAATTACCACACACAATATGAAATTTTAGTACAAAATTAATAATAAGAAACCAGTAGCTTTCATATATATGCAAATAATAAGCAGTTAAAGGATACAAGAAAGTACCTTATTTACAATAGAAACCAGAGGGATATTATCCCTAGGAATAAACATAACAAGATGTGTGCCAGACCTTTTTGAGGAAAATTTTCAAAACACTCTTGAAAGGCCGGGCGCAGTGGCTCACGCCTGTAATCCTAGCTCTCTGGGAGGCCGAGGTGGGC